ATAATAAATAAATTCACTTTATAACAGTTAACTTCACATTCGCATTTAGATATACACGCCAAGAAACTGAGGTAACATTTTACAAATGTGTGAGTAACTTGTAATTTTTAGCGAGACAGCGGTGAGGTACTCATGAGGCTACGTGAGGGGAAATTAGTATTGATTGCACCGCAAGCGTGAAGCACGGAATGCGTGACATCATGGAATGAAGAACGAAAATACACCCTGTTAATTTATTAGTATTTATACGGAAATGCCGGAAAAAACGGATGTAGAAGATATTCTCAGATTGTAGGTGAAAACAATTCACATTTTTCATCAAGAATTATTGGATCAATACATTATTATTATTATTATTATTATTATTATTATTATTATTATTATTATTATTATTATTATTATTATTATTATTTATTATTATTATTATTTATTATTATTATTATTATTATTTATTACTATTATTATTTATTATTATTATTATTATTTATTACTATTATTATTATTTATTACTATTATTATTATTATTATTATTAATCTCTTTATTCACAGTTTCTTGGTATTGTGTAATCATACAAATATCAATGAAATCATGATTACATTTATGGGTTTGATATCACTGAAGTGAAAGCACATTTAAATAAAAATATAAAACACTTATTAATAAACAATAACATACACTATATAATAAACAATTATTACATTACATATTCACTATACAGATTATTACAAAATTCTATTTTTCCATATCATCTTTACATAATTTTTACACGTTTCCACCATAGCACGTATTGATGATTACAGCTTTCTGGGTGTTGATCATTATATTTTTACTTTCCCGAATACATACGTATATATAGAACATACATATACATAGTATACTGTATACACAACATACGTATATACAGTAGACATATATAATATATGCAAGAGAAAGTTATGAAATGCTGGGCGAAAAACGGAGGATTTTCGGTAGAAAAAAATCATTGCCGGGTCGAGATAACAAAAAAGTGGATAAATTCAGTTGATAAATTAAGAAAAAATTCTCTAATGCATGGTGTAGCTAGAAGCCATGTTTTTTCAGGTCCTTGATACCGAAAAATCGATTGGCGGCAACACGTCCACCCGTCCGAACGTCTGTCTGATGTATGTGAACAACACTAGCGCTTAAACTAGGCGTACTATTTTCTTCAAGCTGAATAAATCCCTGTTAATTTGGCCTGAGTTAAAGCTCTCCGATTTCGAAAAATATTCATTAATTTTTGTCATTAAAATTCTCTCAAAAACTGCTCCAAATGTTTTATTTAAATTTCTTGTAAAACAGAGTAAAAAAAACTTTCAAAGGTGGAATAGGTCAGATTTTCAAGGTTAACTCTGAATTTCCGAAAATTGCCAAAATTTGAATTTTTTGCTGTGTCTTCCTACAATTACAAACTTGAAGATTTTTCCTTAAAGTAAAATTTGTCCTCCATAGTGAGTTCTTTTAATAAGGTCATGTATATTGTTTCTGAAAATTTTAATCATTTTCACGCAATATTGCAAGTAATAGTGCAATTTTTAAAGAAATACAAAAATAAGATTTTTCAAAAGCGGCTCCATATTTTTTTATTTAAACTTTTGATAGGAATAGTACCAAATGCACTCAATAAAATGACATAAACGCCACATTCCTCAATTTTTTCAAAAATTACGAAAATGTATTTTTTTACTTGTCTCTCACATCGTTTATATTTACATTAGTGGTGAATTGTTTCCAATATTGTATTTATGAATACATGTGCTTTAAATATTGTCGTATAAAGTTTCTCGAACACGCAACCGCTTTCAGTGAAAACTAGCGCAAAATTTGTGTGTACTTTTGACCATCTAGCTGGGAAAAAAGTCCATTTTCCAAAGTACAGAGAAGTGTTATCGGAGGTATTTGTTTGATTTAAAAGATTCATAGATCATAAAATGGGAATTAATTTTTTTATGAATCGCTTGAGGTAACAGTAGAAAAAGTTCAAACATGCAGTCTTGCATTATCACCAAATGACTTTGTCTGTTACATTACCCATATCTCGTGATGAAGAGCAATGTCCAGTAATTAGCACTTACAAGACTGTAGTCATCCATAAGTTGTGTTTTTGAATGTTCTTCCTTTTTAGTAGCACCTCAAAATAAGTAAAAATACTCTTGTTTGATCGTGGGGTGGTTTGAAAAATTAGTAATATTAATGTTACTTTCACGCCATTTTACAAATTTATTGAAGCTTTTAATATAATATTTACCATAGTTGATGCTTATTGCTATGAAGACATTTAATATTGTCCTTTTCGTTATTGAAATAATGAAAGTTCAGCTGTGCATACCTGCGCACTCAAAGAGTTTTAATTTTTTTTTTTACAGAGGAGTACTCAATTTCTCGGAAGTCGTTATTTTATGTTCGGTGCGAAAGCTCTACGGAAGCAAGGTATGACTCAGTGATTTCGAATTTTTTACACGAATTAGAAGAATAAACTATGAGAAACACTTCAAGAAGAGCGGTGAAAACTTAAATTAGCCAATTTTTGTCAATTCTTTATCAAAAAATGTGGAAAATGAACTAGGCATAATCAACATTTTACAGATAAACTACTCATCATTGCTTCAGGAAGTCATCCAATTTTATACAATTTCATTAACTGCTCCAAGCACTTCAAAATCAAATGATGTCAATATAGTGATTGGCGTCGTATTAAGCCTTTTTTCGTGTGGTCCTAAAGCTAGAAAACAGGAAGTAAAACCGTGTTAAATTCACCCATTAAAAACTAAGAACACCTAATGAAATGAAATTAAGAAAAGAAAGTAATAGTGATTCTTCTTACATTTAGTAAAGATATTTCTAATTGCTTCTTCTAACAGTTATAAAAAAATAATATAATGCTCAGATTGTTGCGTCAAGAACCAACTTTAAAAAGTGCAGACCGAATATTTTTCCTTTGCAATATCTCCTCTTCATTCGTAGCTAACGCTACGAATAGGCAAGTCACGTAAGAGGAAACGAAAATAAAAAAAAATTTCGGAAAGGGCCAAAAATATTAGAAAAATTCTGACATGAGGTAGTCGCTATGACTCGTTTGACTTACGTCGTTAGACTGTTAGTCGACATGCCTAAAGAGTCAATAGCAATTCAGAAATAACGAATAAATCTGGACATAATAAAGAGTTTTTGAGTGAAATTAGAGTGCTTAGAGTGGTGAAATAATATCAATGATTTATGAAAGACTTGAGACTTGTATTTTCAACTGATCTTGCGTGCTCGTAGTTGTCCATAAGACTCTCTTTCATAGAAATAATATAAAGAAAAGTAGCTATCTCGCTACTGGATAGTTCTCTGAAGAAGCCAAATTTCCCCGTTTTTTCAAAACCAAAATAGAAAAAATATAATAAAAAATGGTTAAGTTCCTTAACATGGATCGAAAAGACATTGATTAAGTTAATGCCATTACCTAATTCGAGATTTTTTGATGAAAACTGAACATTTTGGAATTCGTAGTAATTATTTTTGATTTCTTCAATGTCTTCCGTCAAGAAAGCGTTTTCCGTCAAACTTAGTCATTGAAAATTGTTCAATATATTGACATTACAATTTACTTTCAATATATGACCTGTATAACAGTATACAAGTATACGTTATAGTTTAGTAGAGTCTAACTATTTTCCTACTAAATCGCCAAAATGACACATTGTGCAACGTTCACTCTATCTTCAGTTCTTCTTTGATTTGTGTGTGCGCCATTATTACATTTTGTTGAATTCCAAGATATTTGTAGAAGTTGTTTATGTTTATTGCTGTTATTGTCTCTGTAGATACGGTCTCATATTTAACATTGCCTCTGAGCGTGCCCTTTTTATCCATTGAATTTTGCATTTTCCAATTCCCAAGCGAATTCCCGTATCGATTTCTGGGTTGTTTCCAATAGCTTTTCCAATCCACATTCTGAATAGGAGTGAATTTGATATCATCCATGTATGCGAGATGTGTTGTATACATTTTCCCAAACCTTTTAATTCGAACCCTGATATTTTTTGTCCAGGAGAGATGAAAGTGCGTTCATTGCAAGGCAAAAACAGTAAGGAATGAAACAGCTCTAACGCCAAATTGTTTATCTCTGAGTAGTGGTGTTCTTAGAAGATAGACTAACGGACGGACGGACGTTTTAAAAGAAAATTTTCGGTATCAGGACACACCAAAAGGGGTATTGACATTGAAATCTCGAAATCGATTTTCCGATGCATTACATTATTACATACACTACGTGAATTACTCCATATATACATACGCATACGAGAAAATAAGTAGTGGTGCCATAGAATGGTACAGACTTCCACGTATTCATTTTTTATTTTCTTTAGTATCGGCTAGCTATTTGCCGCTTACTCTTGCCAGCTGCCATTTATCGCCAACCAAAGTACATTTTTTGACATTTTCTTAATTTTTCGGTTTCCTATTTGTACAACGGAAATAATATTTTAAGAATATTAAAAAACAGTAAAAACTCGTCCTAAATAGCAATTATCCTTGAAAAATTTGCTGTTTTGAACAAAATCATGTTTAAGTGCTACTGTAAATTCGAAATTTGAAGCCTCTATTTACAGAAGCTTTTTACGAATTTTTTTTTTTTCGAAAATCTTAATTTAAAATTATTTGAAGCACTTTTACTTACAAATGCACTTTGTGAGCAACGTGTTGTATTACCCCTTTTTATTCATTTACTGACATCCCAATACTTCCATTTACTTTTTGAATTAACACCTGATACAACTATCACAACTTTCACGGGTTTTCCTCCCTATTTTGTGCACGCTAGTACCTACACACTCACGATACCTACGGAAAATACGAGCTGCCGAGTAAACCTGCTGGAGCGGAGGCTAAGTGATAAGTTGGTAGGCTGCATGCACACAAACTGGCACGCTTAAAGCATTGGCGCCCAACGTGGGGCCAATGGTTTCTATTTATTGTTGCTACTTGCAGCAAGCACGACCGCGCGTGGGTGGTTGGCGAGCTGCTGCCGCGCCTGGAGGGACGCGCCCCGCGGTACCGCCTCTGCCTGCACGAGCGCGACTTCCCTCTCGGAGCTCTGGTGGTGCAGAACATCGTCGAGTGCATGGAGCGTAGCCGGCGAACGCTCATCGTGCTCACGCCTTCTTTTATCAAAAGTCAGGTAAGATGTACAAAAAATGAATGTGTCATATGTAGTTAAGGGAATCATGTGCACCATAGGTGTTTGACGATACGGTCGTATTGACCGGAGACATACAGTTTATGGACGATACAGTACTATATTAGTTTAGTGATTCTGGATAAATAAACTGATCGCTCTTTGTCGGAACATACATTTATTCATAACATAACACAATCACGTGCCTTTTTGATAAATAAATAGAGATATTGTCAGGTATCAATATTTTAATTCCACTAATGATCATTTCGATCGCTACGCGATCGAAATGATTAGTGGAATTAAAATATTGATACCTGACAATATCTCTATTTATTTATCAAAATAAAAAAGGTATCTACTTCACCAACAATCCAATTAATAATTAATCACGTGCCTATTTAAATCTAAGATAGGATCAAATTCAGACACATTAGTCAACGGAAGATCGCCTGCCAATTGAAACCGGAAACTAAGATTAGACCGGAGTGGTCGCGCGAAGAAGAAAACCTTTGCTCCGTGGGCCAGGGCAAATGCAGTGACCAAGAAGATATTGAGAAGATACTGAGAAGATATAGCCCAGAAGAGTGTGTACGAAGGCGTATTTACAGCTGGCACAAAAGACGTGACCTGGTGTAACATAGTTCCGAAATTCAAACTGGAAATAAACCTGGTAACCTTTATCTGGATGCACTGTTCTCTTTGCACTATCTCGCACTCATCGCATCTGGAAGCGAAAATTAATAAGTGGGAGATATACTAACTTACTAGATCACTGTCCCGACTTTAGTGTTGCAAAGAGTGCAGAAAGGGCACAAAGTCGACCCTGTAAATTTGGGTGTCGTTAATAATATTCAGACATTCCGCATATCAAATAACGACATTCCAATTTATTTCAATTTATAGTATATAAATTGGAATTTCGTTACTCAAATATGTGTGTAGGTTCGGCCGGCGGGAGCAGATGACAAAGCTCAGCCTGCTAGAGCAAGTTGTTTGTGTGTGTGTGTGTGTGTGTGCAGTGGTGCTAGTTGGATCCGGAGTTGACGCATTGCTGGAGGGAGTATATGTGTGTATGTGTGCAGTGGTGCCAGTGGGAGCTGGAGATGGTGACGCGCCGCGTGCTGGAGGGCGCCGGGCGGGACTTCCTGGTGCTAGTGTGTGCTGTGAGTGTGTGCGCAGTGGTGCCAGTGGGAGCTGGAGATTGCACGCACCGCCTGCTGGAGGGCGCCGGGCGGGACTTCCTGATGCTGGTGGAGCTGCAGCGGCTGGAGGCGCGCGCCCTGCCTCGCCTGCTGCGGCTGCTGGTGGAGACGCGCACCTTCCTGCAGTGGCCGGCCGACGGGGCCGCCGGGGGGTGCGCGGAGGAGGTAGCGTGGAAACGCCTTCGCGCCGCCCTCGGGCCCCCGATGCCTCGCTCGTCCTCCCGCCGCCCACCCTCCGAACACGCCTCGTTTCGCCTCAAAGGGACCCCCGCTCAAAGAGAGGTCGACAGTTAGCGAAATTATTTGCGCTTACAAACTACGTACGTATGTTATGTATTATGTAACCGACCTTGACTTCATTCATCGTGTGTATTTTCTATTTATTATCTTAAAAACAAAGATTTTTCGGTCAGTAATATATTTTTTTTACTTACGTATTTGACACAAATAACGAGAGGGTGAGGAGTCAAGCTTTACCCAGCTCTCTCCCGCCCTTACCCACAAGCGACTTGACCACGCTAAGAAGTATGTCATCGTCACAAGATGTAATATTATTCCATTTTCAGTGTCCATTTTAGAGTGCAGTGTTGATTTCCAACTCTGAGATGCACGCTACTAAGTATTATCGTATTTTTTGCTCTTGTTGTTTTGTTCAGCATTTTCAAGTGTTTGTGAAGCGTTCATTAATATGGATAGTTCTAAAATAACACTTTTCTAAATTGATCAAGAGTTTTTATAACACACTAGAAAATGTTTATATAATCTATACCAATACAACACCTATAGCTTTAATTAATTACAACATACAAATTAAATTCATAGATCTTAACTTTTCGGCCCAATTTTCTTAGATTTCATTAGCGAAAAATATAACGGAATGGTCAATTCCGGGAGATCGATTTAAATATCTTGAATTTGTCCAGCGTTAAAAAGCATAACAATTGCATGATCTATAAACAGGGATTGTTATACAAATTTTCTAACGCATTGTCAAAATTCTTGATAAATGAATGTCTGTCAATTTTTAGCCTGTTCAGATTAGTTTTTTTAAATCAACAAAATTCATTTTTATTAAAAATTTAAATACATCTAGTTAAGTTTTTTTTCAGTTTTTAGAGTTTATTTACACAGCATCGTCGTTATTAAAATAAAAATGTTGCTCTCTCTCCTCTCTCTCTCTCTCTCTCTCTCACTCTATATATATATATATATAATTGTGATTTACAATCCAATAATATAACCAATATGATAATGAAAATCACGATTAAAAATCAATAAACTCAATAAATGAGAAAAGGTACACGAAGACAGAAACACTGATTTTTTTTTTTTTCACTGCTTACAAATCGTTTGTGTTAATGACATAAATATTTTGACAAGAGATTTTCAAATTGCTGTTATGAATATAAATACTACATAATTTTCCAAATTATCAAATCATTTACTATTGATCTGTATATTTAATTACGCTACAAACAATATATATACACATAATACATGAACATGTTCTTGAATTTGAGCAATATTTAAAACACAACTTTAGTAACTCAAATAAATTAACGTGTTATATTATAAAAATACAAAATTATAAATATCCAAAAATGCTATAAAACAGTTTTGTGATGTCATTCAGAGGTTTGGTTTTTGTAACGAAAATGTTTTCTCAAAGCACAAAAAACATTTTTTTATTCTGTGCCTTGAGGCTCGTATGTCTCAACTTTTTCTGGACACCGTAAACAAGTACAAACAGAATATACATTTTGATGGCATTTCATGTTGATACCACCATAACTACAGTTCCTTGTTGCAAAGTTTTTTGCCTGGACGCCAAGATTACTGTTTCTTACCACAGGAAATGTGATAGTCTCAGTTGCTGCCCTTTCAAACTCGCCGTCTCCTGGGTAAGTTCCTGTCAGAAAAGGTGTTTAGATTGATTAATCTACGTAAGGTTAGGCGTTGGTAGGTTTATAAAGAAAAAAGGTAAATACATGAACTCTCTTGTTCAAAAGTTTGTCAACCATTATTACACTACAAATAAAAAAGAAACGTTTTTAATGTTTGAATCTACTCTCTGAGAAATATAAATAATCAGTAAATATACCATTATTAGATAGAGACTAACTTGCAGATTGAATATTCCTCATACAAGTAAGTGAAGAAAACAATTGCCATTTTAGGACCCCTCGTACAACTACGCAGTATTGCAAATAGAGCAAATTTAATTTTTTTTCTACAATCAATTCTTTAATGAATGGCACGAACATTTTTTTGAACATATTTTTAGTAAGTATTTGGCAGCTTTAAGTCGACTTTGCCGGCCATCTTAGTGTCCGCGTGCCTGGCCTTAAATTCCCACACTTAAAGGGCAAGACATGCGGTGAATTTGACGAATTCGCTTCACCGTAACCAGCAAACTTCACCTGCCTCAACTTTCCTTCATCACACGGCTACAGAATCAGGGACACTGCGCTGCCCATGAACCATCCTAGAGGCATAGTTTTGTAGTTATTGCTTAATATTAATATGATAAATGTGCGCAAATTTGAAAATAAGATTTTCTCGTAATAAAAATTTCTCTCTGATAACTTCAATAATATTATTTTACTTTCATAAAATTATTGTTTCAATAATAAATTTTATAATATTATTATTATTATTATTATTATTATTAAAGTCACATTTCAAATCATTTTTCGGGACAAAAATTGAGAAAATAGGAATAAATTACGTGTATTTTGAAAAAACTCTATTTCCCACAGTAAAAATATTGCAAGAAATTAGACTAAACTATTGACCACAGATGCTAGTTGTAAATATGTTTTCTTGTACACTTCATTAAAGTAAAAAAAATAGTCAATACTGAGTGCAATGTTGACAGGTTTGAAGGCTAAAGTAGCTTCGTTTGCATTGTTGATATGGAAACGAATGGTGTTAAAGTTATTCAAATATACATATATTTAGCTTTATAAAGAAATTTAACGACAAGACAATGATAAAAGGCCATTTTCATTATGTTATTGGTTTTATCAAAATTTAGCAAACCCGTATCGGTTTACTATTAGTGCGGTGAGACAGATGAGCCAAAGAATGAAACCACTTCGGCTGACGGTCCGAATTTCACGAAAAACATGAATGTTTCAATTGTGTTTAAGGAAGGGGAACCTTCAGATCTCGTGAATTACATCTACACCATCCGTAACCTGTGAAGTGTATTACACCTACATTATCCTACATAATATCTTAGCCTGACAGACATTTGTGTCATTAATTGAAGAACTGGATCCCACACCTAGACCAATGGTACAAGCACCGAGGTGAGGCCAAGGAATACCATGGGCAAATATTGAAAGGTACAGCACCTGACTACTTATTCGATGGTCTAGAAACACGAAGATGCACTGAACCACCTCCAAGAAGATTAACCGCTAGAGATCCGTGTAATCTTTTAGACGCCGAAGAGAATAGGAAACTAGTACGAGAAAGTCTGTGCAATTCTGTTAAACAGTTTCATTATGAATTCAACAGAATATTTCTCTTCTTCCAGGCAAAAATATTATATCAGCAATATTTTCCTTTTTTAGATGACAAATAAGTTTATGATTCATTGCGGTTTTCTACTTTTGTGTATTACTTCTATCTTTTTATTACCGTACTACATGTTTATTATCTTACCTCGTGGTTAACTTCTCCTCTTTCGACACATCAGTCTTCTTAGCGCTCGAAGAAGGGTTCACTTGAGTCGCGGAGTCTACAGAAAACAAATATTAGGAGATGAAGTACAAACTTTTTTCAAACACGTGAATTTACAGTTCAATAACAGCTTTACATACGTATTATCAACATGGAAGTTAAACCTTAGTACTTCATTGAAACTTTATTGTTTTCTACTACATCAACAATTAAATATACTTGTTCTTACCCCACACACTCGTTCATGTACGAGTATGTGTCCTTACATGTTGTAATCGAGTATCCTGCGGCCGTTACTGACATTCGTCCTTTATAGTTAGACCCTTTCAGTCAATCGGAACACATGTAATTCGTCGCTTCTCTGTGTACTGGTGGGGATCTGAACATATTTTTTTGTAGATCCATCCAGAAGATTTTAAGAGCGTGTGTTTTTGCGTTTTAGGCAGGTGTTTTGGGGTGGCTTTCGGTACTTGAAGGTGAAAAATGAATGGGGGAAAACCAGAACGGTATAAGTGACATTTTATAAATTCTGAGAAAACTGTTTATTGAATTCAGTATTACTATAAAGTCGTTTCATCATTAAAACCATTGCATTTCAATTGCCCATTATAACCACGGAAATATATTGCCACTGAAATATGGCCGTGAAAATTAAACACGTTTTTCTCCGAATTTATAAAATGTCACTTATACTGTTCTGGATTTCACCCATTCAAATAGCTCATTGGATTCCTCTTGACAAGACAAATCGATAGGAAAAATTCTTAGCCAATTCACTCTACAATACTCTGGAAGATTCCTAGAAAGACGCGTGTTTTTATGGTTTTAATACGCCTGCGATATATTGGGGAAATACTGTTAATTACTCTACTTTCTTTGCGTTATTTATGTGAATGATTGCGACTTAATTCATCCGATTGATGATAATTAAAACTAATTTTGTAGAACAATAATTTAAACAAGTATTTTAAAACATTAGAATTAAACGGCTTTTTAATTGATACTTTGCATGTAACATTCTATTCCCGAAACTGGACAAACCGCGCAACTATAACACGTTTCAAATTTATTTTTTCTTCTGAACTTTTAAAGTAAAAATAAAAGTTTTTTAACACGAAAATACAAACCGTAGATGCCATCCTAGTCTAGTAATCAGTATTTTCAAGCTAACGTCTATCGTCTCTATACACATTTGTGTTTCTAGGTTCTTTTGATTTGGTTTGTGACCAAACATAAGGTTGTCTTTATTCGCGCCTCATAAAATAACGAACATCTAGTCACTCATTCTATTTTCTCCTACCCGCACTAGGTTGCCATCCATTCTTTCTTTAAGGATGAAAAGTGATTGTTGCGTGTGAGTTTTATTTACTTATTTAACGCCAAAAATACCAAAAATCTGTGACTTTCTATGCGGAGGAGAGCAATTTTTGCACTTTTCTCGAGCTCTGGTATCTCTTCCTCACACTCATATTGTGATGAATAATGAATACCAGTAACAACAAGTATTTCTGACAAGAATTGATAAGAATATATTCGCTCCCGTGTAATAAAATATATTTTAAAAGGCAAATCAAGAGATTTTGGCTACTATCCCTTATCGTGCCCTTTGTAATAGAATCAACTCTGTGGCCCTAGAACACGAGAAAAAAATTATTTGAATAACTACATTACCAACTGAGGAATACGTTTACAGATAGTGAAGCTACATTTTCGTCCTAAAGCAAAGCAATGGGCTATCTCGGTATTTGCTCAAAGGATTAAAGAAACTGGTTGAAAAACCTAATCGAGATGAAGTCATTGACCCAAAAGCTGAGGTACAATATTGGTTACAGTTATGAAAGAGTTGGGGTTTATTATCTATTTAAATTGTACTACCCGACTGCATCCCGCGCTCTGCTTTCCCGCATTCGCTTGCGCTTTTTGTTACCTGAAAAGTCATAGCTCGACTGTACACCGATTCGTTCATCTGGTGTTTCAGAGTAGTAATCGTTTTTAAGTTTCCATTCATAAGCAGCGC